GTATGTATGTATGTATGTATGTATGTATGTATGTATGTATGTATGTATGTATGTACGTACGTACGTACGTACGTACATACGTACGTACGTATGTATCTCACTGCTACCTAAGTTAGCAAACAGTTAAAATATTTGAAGTTTCATGTAAACAGCTTCTTGGACTTGCACAATATTTGATGAATGGGTAGGGTGTGTAGTGTCACTTGAAGCCAAGTTCTGCCCAGTGATGTCAGTAACACAGCCTGAGGGCAAAATCTTGTCCTAAATACTAAATCCAAAGGGATTATGCGGTCACCTAATCCCATTCACTCTGTTTTATAAAATAGACTTGAGTTTTATTTACCTTTTTAAAAAGAAATGGCGTAGAACTCCTTAGTAAATTGTGTGGTTTTCCGTCATAATTTTTCCAATTAAATACTCTTGTTGTCTGCTGTTGCTGTTCAGCATTGTAAAGACAGTTTTCCTACCCTTCCACAATTCAGTTGTGTTGCCTGGGACTTCATATGGACTGAAATATGTCTTATCTAGAGGGGAATCAGGTCAGCATCCATGCATTTAAGAAAACCCTTGCTATGTAATGACCATTGCACCGATAAAATAAAGAGCTGCTGAAGCATTTATTGTGGCAGTGGTGAAGGTGAATGGACATTTATGGTGCTAAGATATGAATCTTACTTGTTAAGCAAAATAGCTTTTTTTTTTTTTTTTTTTTTTTTTTTAGTAATGAAGGATTGTTAAACTGCAGTGGAGAAAAGGATCATACTGCATAATATTTTTCAAGAGATAAATATGTGATAAGTACATTTATATTCTGTAGAGGTATATCAGTGGTGGGTTGCAGGCAGTATGCCCCGGTATGGGTGTATACGGGAGCACTGGGTACCGTTCCGGTATGGTGCTCTAGTCTAGAGGGCCCACCCGCCCTCTTTACCTGTATTTGAGCTCTTGGGTGCTTACACACACAGAGAGTATGGCACCTGCACGATGCTCCGCCGAACAGCTGGAGCATCGTGGAGGCGTCTCAGGATGTAAGGATGTATGTGCACGCTGCATGCATGTGTGTGCTGCACGCATTCATGTGGTGGACACCACGCCCTGTTGCACTGTACCAGTTGCAACATGATCCGGAACCCACCACTGAAGTATATCTATACATATAGGTGTATGTTTGGTGTCTGTCTTGTAGCATTAGATGTTCAACATGTTTTCCATATTTTACACAGGAAAAAATATTTGGAAATAGCAATGTGATTATAATGCAAACAAAAGGTGTATCACAATGGTCATATTGATCTGTCTTAGAAGCTTATGCTGTTTATAGCACTAGCAATAATCATGCAATTTTTTATACATTTTAACAGCTATTTTAATGGTTATTACCAGACCAGTTGTAAAATTTATTATTTATATAGGGGCTTAACACTATTACACTTAGTGCTATCTATCTGCTTCCTTCTGACATGCCTATGAAGTATTGGTTGACTTTTATATTTATGATAAGAAAACAAAATTCCACACAGGCATATTATTCAGGATTGTTTTGTACTTTTAGATGATATTTAATTTTATTTATAATCCTTATTAAACTCTATACATTAAATCCATATTATTATTCTCCATAGAGCAAATTATGGCTGAAAGACAATGGTTGCTTCGCACTTAGCCCGTGGTAGAAATGTAGTTGAACCATGGGAATTTTCTGTTTTATGCTGTTTCTCTTAGATACCACACTAGCTCTCTGAATCAGAATCATAAGAATATATGTCTAAATATGATAAAAATATAATAATTTGTTATCTGAAAAAGAAAATATACTATGAAACCTGTTTAGCACAATGGATTATTCATTTATTTTCAGTAAATACAGTTTTATATATTAGAAGTTCAGTTCTACAACCAATTTATTTATTTTTTTCTTGCCAAATAGATAATAAAAAAAATAGTTCTCATATATGAAGAGTTTTGTTATTCAAGTATCAGTTGGAGATTTCTCAGCTTAAGGTGAAGGAAACAGCAAAAAATCATCAAAGAAATATGCTGCAATAATAGTCCTGCAAGAACTTCGAAAACTTTCTGTTCTTCCTGTAATTTAAAAGCTAAAAGGTATTTTTAAAAAATGTTGAAGAATAATGTTAAAAGTAAGAAACTTTGTATATATGACTTAAAACTTGGTATGTCCTAGTAAAATAGTTGTAAAATCTTCCACTTAATCCGGAAATACTGTATATATCACTTTCATTGACTAAAAAGTCATTTTTAATTCCTAGCAACCATTTCAGTGGTGGATTCCTACCAGTTGGGCCTGGTTCGGCTGAACCTGTAGTGGCATGCCGGCCCAGGTCTCAGAATCAGCAGCGATCCAGGCTGGCCACGCCTCTGAATCGGTTTCCCAGTTGCTGCAGTTGCCGCCACCATCTTGTTTTTTAGTTCGGTGCTTGCGCAGAATGATTTCTATTGAACTGTGCGGGTGTACAAAGGGCGCATCAAGCATACCCACGAGCAAACTGGCAGTAATGCCAGCTAGAAGCCATCCCAGAACCATTTAGATACAAGGAAATAACATTTCTGGGGAAAGGTTGTAGCAAGTAATAGGCTAAGCATTAAATTCCCATATTCCCACTTTTCCAGAGTTGCTCTGCAACTTTAATCTGGACAGGAAAAAAGCAATTTAATTGCAAAAAATAGCAATGATGATACAGGTGGACTGCAGTTTAGGGCGGCAATTGTAAGATGTGCCAATTGTAAGATGTGTTGGTCGTTCAGTGGGAAATAGTGAGAGTCATAGGTAAGGAGTGCAGGAGTGCTTCAGGGGGGCGGGGGAGGCATTAACAAGCCTGGCACAGGGACACACAAATTGGGGTACAGGAGTGCCACAGTGTGATAAATGCAGGGAGACCAAGAAAAGGAGCGCATGGGGCAATGTAGGGAGAGGGATACTGAAGGTATAATCCATGTGTGCACAGGAAAGTTGAGGGAAGGAAGACATAAGTTGCTGCTAGTACAGGAAGACTGAAGGAGGTTGGTGTAGTGCACAGGTAGGCTTGGTGGATCTAACCTTTGCTGTCTTTGACTTTGCTTGTGAAAAGCTGACAGGGAAGATCCTAAACGTTGGCCATATGATTGTGGGATGCTGCAACTGTTGTAAATAGGAATTGGTTGCCAAGTGCTTGAATCATAATCATGTCACTTAAGGGAAAGATGCAACAGTCAGAACTTTGAGAACTGATTATATGTTCCGTTTGTTCAGTGCCCTTTCAACTTTAGACAGTTGCTGAACAGGTGGTCAATAAGTGAGGACTACCCATATCTAATGCATATATGATATGAATTAAATATTTTAGAAAAAATAGGCTGCTAAGTTTTGCACTATTATCTCATTCGTATTAAGAAAAGGTATGAGATAGAAAGATAGTCATTTCAAAAGATTACCATATGTTATATCATGTTCTGAATATAAATTGAGATTAGCTAATCATTGCTTTTCTTGAGAGTCTGGGCCATCAGAATGTTTTTTATAACAGGACAATAGTTCTCAAATAATGACTTCCATATGATGAGTAGCTTTGTTTGTCCTGTTTTTACTTTTCTCTTTTCTTTAAAGATCTCTGATACAGAGACAAAGGAGTCTGGCTGCATCCAGTTAGACCTTATGGGCTAATAAAGCTTATAGTCAAAGCTGAGCAATATTCAAAAACAAACACATATTTTATCATTTGTGCATCTCACTTCCACCAATCTAATTCCTCCCACTCCAAAATTAACTAGAAATTTAAATAGATGTTCAGTTGTTCAGTAGCAGCCTAAAAATCCAGATCACTTCTAAACACTTGCAAAGCACTGAAGCAGTTGCAATGGAAAAGGCCTATTGCTTTCTCTTTGAAGTGTTTCTCCTACAGCCTTTCCTTCCTTCCTTCCTTCCTTCCTTCCTTCCTTCCCGAATTATATTCTGGATGTAATCATACTGTGTAAATAAAAAAATTATCCCAAACAGATAACTCTCAATATATGAAACATTAAATCATTCTGTGACACCATTCTTACTATTGTTTCCTTAGTTCTAAGCAACAGCTAATGCTGATCTGTGTCCCCATTGGATGAGAGGCTGAGTATTGATCTAAAGATTGATTGAAACAGGTCTCACAAACATGCCCACATTGAACAATTTTCTGCTCTTACTGGCGATGTAGCAATTCTATCTTGCTATGTATTTGTGTTTCTAGTTTCTCTTATATAGGCAACTGACTATTTGAGATTAGGCAGAGATACTTTATTTTTAATTTTTTTGAAAAATTGCCAACATTTGTAAATGGTATTATCATTAAAAAAATTATTGTAAGAAACTGTTTGTTACAACTCTTCAAATCTGAAAATTCAATTGGAGTTTCATCGTTGCCTTATAATTATTACGTCTATAAGTACACATTGAATTACAATCTGCTTATCTACCAAAGATGTGGGATTTTTTTCCTTTTATTGAATATTGGTGTGCTTTCCTGTGCTTTAATGTAACTTCTTTCTAAACCTCCTAAATTCCTGTGAGCTCAAGTTTCCTAAATGGAGTGTTTATTTCTGGTGGCAGTAGATTTATTGCCACTTCTGTAATTCCTGAGCTTCGGTTTTGCGGGGCTGGCCCTAATTTGTGTATTCATCTGAAATTCCTTTTGAAAATGGGAGAAAGGAGTAAATTTAGTTTTATCTGCATTAAATCTGATCAAACTCAGGTGTGTAAGTCAGCCACATGCCATTCTCTGTATAATTTGTGAAACATTATCACTGGTGGTTCATCATAAAAGCCACTCTTAGCCTCTCAGCTAAGTAATCGGTTTTGTAAAAATTCCCTCTTATGTTATTTTATTGAAGTCTGTTTAGGAGTCAGGAAGAAAATAATAGTGGAGTGAAGCAGTTAAAACTCTTTAACCATAAGTGACGCTTCCTTACATCTTGTTAAGTCATAAACAGCAACACAATTCAAGCAACTTCTTTCAGAATTAATTTCTTTCCTTATAGTTACTCACTTTACAAACTATACCTGAACAATAACAAAAAAATCAATAGAGATGTGACTTAAAGCTTATTTACTTTCATTGTAATTAATGGATAGATTGTCCATAAATTTCATCGGAATGTAATGTATATTCATCATTTTAAAAATCACTTTCTAATTAATTTACTCTGCTAAGATAATCCATTTTATTTAAATCCTTTGCTTTCTATTTGGTTTGTGTGTGTCTGTCTCTATCTTTTGATGCAGTTTTTCACCTTTCACTTCAGTTTAATCACTTCATCTCTAACATTTTAGCTTTACATCTTGTTAAATGCTGTTTGCATTTTAACTTCTTTATTGTCTTTTCCTACAGTCCATTTAAACAAGATTCTTAGCTTCCTGTCTCGCTCAGTGTATTCATCAGTATAGCATGTTTTAGAAGAATTCCTAAGATAGCAGCTCACTGAGAAATATTGATATAAAAATCTAAAAATTGCCCTTGTTTTGCCCCCCAAATATATACATATGTACATGTTTGTGGTGTGTGTGTGTGTATGAGAGAGACACAGAGAGAGAGAGAGAGACAGAGAGAGAGACAGAGAGAGAGAGAGACAGAGACAGAGAGAGACAGAGAGAGAGACAGAGACAGAGAGACAGAGACAGAGATAGCCAAGAAAATAAATAAATGGATCATCCAAAAAATCAATGCAGAATTCTTATTTAAGGCACAAATGACCAGGGTCAAATTATCCTACTTCCAACACATTATGCAAAGACCCAGCTCTCTGGAAAAGGCTTTTAATACTTAGAAAGGTACAAAGAAAAACAGCAAGAGAATGACAGGAGCAAGGTGGATGGGCTCAGTTATGGTAGTGAGGAGTAGACCCTTGGAAAACCTGTAAGATCATGTTAGGATAGATCATGCAGAAAATCCATCTATTGTTTTTCATTTCAAATAACAGAAAGATCTTAATTTTCTCCACCGCAGATGCTCTGCTCATTGAGATTTAATAGCACATTCTTTTCCTTTGTTTGCCTTCTTTCTCCTAATAATGAAATTCCTGTAATATTAAGTATATACACTTCTGTAATGGGAAAAGGAAGCCCCTTCAGTACGAATTTTGAAGTTAGTTCTGGGGATTCACAGAGAAAGCTTCAAAAGCTCCAGCTTGACCCCTAAGTCAACAGTTTCTTCTCAGACACATATAATTAATCAACTTTGAAAACATCCCAGTGTTTATATTCATGTTACAAACATTTAACTTGTTTGTTTAGTTGTATTTGACTTACTTGTTTTGTTATTTTTAACATTTCCTACATGGGCTTCGTTTATTCAATGGTTCAACACTATTCTTGGGGGTTTTTTCCTCCCCAGACAAACCTTTAAAATGGTTAAAATGTTAAACTGTGTAAATAGACATATATAATTATTTTAGATTTGCAAATTTTAATATATTACCCCTAACCCTAAAATTAAAGTTTTACCATTAGACAGTGCTTAGTAACATACAACATAAACTTTTTCTACAGCTTGAATAATTTTATCTGATTTGTATAACACAAATCATATTCTAAATTTATTGATTTATAATTGATTATTCATAATAATCAAATTATAATCAAATTTATATAGTTGCCCATCTAACTAAAAGCGATTCTGTGTGGCACTCAGCAAAAAACCCAAATCTACAGAAAGGATTCTAGAGCCTGTTGTGTGAAGGGAAGGTTCCCATTTTGATCACAGTAAAGGGGTTGAAGAGATAGACTTCATTTCCCAGTAAGAGGTCCTAGTCTTATAATTATTTAAAGAAAAACAAGTTAACACAGCTAGCTGTTGCAAGTATTAAACAAATCTCTTGTTGGGCCTAGGGATATAATCCAATCAGTGTTGAATACTTTCACGTCCTGTTGATTTCAGTCAGGGAATTAAGCATGGGTTTTAATTGCTCCCATGAAAGTCAAGAAGAATTAACATGATTTAATGTTGTTGGACACTATTGTTTCTAGTTTGATTGCTTTTAGTAGTTATAAATAAATTTTATGGCTTGAGACATATAAGACTGTTTTCAAAATAGTCACACTAAAATCATGTGATATCTGACAGAAACAAAGTCTTGGTAGATTTATTACTGCTTTCAAAAACTTATCAAAGCAAAATGACTTTTGTATAAAGTACTTAAACCTTGCTTTCATTTGTTTTAATTGAATGTGGAAGTAAAATATCTGGAGATAATATGTTCATTTTTATCTGTCACACAAAGAACAAGCTTAGATGTGATGAAATGGATCCAATTACTTATGCTGACTGTTAGATAAACAGAAGAAAACCTCTGATGACATTAGTTGAAGTTTTGTTCCCAAAGTTAATTTCAGAAAACTCTTTCTTTGTAGTCAGACCTTTAATCCTCGATAGAGGTTATAATAATACTTAAATCAGCTCTACAAGTCTGAGAAATAGCAGTCCATGCATCAGGCACTGAATTTTCACTTCACTATTTATTTTAAATGTTATTTTATTTACAGTGCAATCATAAACATGTCTGTTAGCAAGTATGACCTACTGAATCCAGGGGGGATTATTCTTTGGCAGCTCATAATTCTGTTCATTTGGTTGTAATTTAATTTTAAGACACTTAATTTTTTTAGCAATAGCACTTAACATTTAGACTTATATACTGTTCTGTAGTGCTTTACAGCACTCTTTTATGTGGTTTACAGTGTTGCCCTCAACAATCTGAGTCCTCATTTTACTGACCTCAGAAGGATGGAAGACTGAGCCAATCTTGAGCCAATTAGGATCATTTTTTTAAAAAATGATTAATTTTAACTTTTTAATTATATTTTACTTTTTTGTTACGGTATTTCATATTTTGCAAGAAAATACTGTATTTTCCATAAAACTGAGAGACTCAATATCTACATTAAACTTCTAATTGTCAATAATAAGTAATTCAGAGCTCTTTTTTTGTCTACCCACTCTAAGCATTACTGAATTTGGATATTATCCAATTAATAAACAAAAATAATTGCATTTTTAAAAAGTCACATAAAAAGTGTTTCATTTTCTTACAAATTATATTTTATTTATCAATTTATCTCCTGCTTTATTACTTTTACAAATAACTCAGTATGAAAAAACACACAATATTATCTCCTATTTTCTCCATAACAATAACCCTGTGAGGTGAGGGGAAGTGGGCTGAGAGAGACTGACTGACCCAGAGTCAGCACAGTCTGTGCTTCTAACCTGGTGCCTTAACTAGTTTTATCTACTTTTGAGAATAGATATCTAATTAAAATTAATTCAAAATCACAATGATTATAATTATTATTGTGTTGCATCCATGTGTTTATCTCAATTCAATCCTCATATAAAATCTGCAAGACATATTAGGTTGAAAGAATTTAGACATGTTAAATACAAGAATTTAAACATCAGGGTGTTGTTGTTTTTTTTACTTTTTACCTCTAAAATTTCATATAGGCTGAATAGAAAATAAAAAAAACCACCTTCAAGTACATAGTTGGCACTTGCAGGTAATCTTCAATTTATGACCACTGTTCAAAAGTGTGATGGTGCTGAACTGGGAGACTTATAAACAGTCCGTGAAATTGTGGCCATTGCAGTGTCCCAACAGTCACATGATCACAATCCAGTGATCATGGGATTTCCATTTGGAACCTTCCCTGCCAGCTTCCCACAAGCAAAGTCAAAGGGGAAAGGTTACAAGGCACTTCTATAAGTTACTTCCACCACTTTTTCTCCCAAGAAACTCCATAACAGAGACTGCATACTTTGTAGTGCTCCCTCTCCAACCCATCTTGTATAGTGCATCCCTGCCCACCTGCACTCTAGTGTGTGTCCACCCACAATCACACACCTGTCTGCACTCTCTAGGACTGGTCCATGGTCTCTGCCAGCCTGCCTGTACTCCTTAGCACCTACTCATGGCATTTGCTGGCTTGCCTGTGCTTCCTAACATCTGCCTGTAGCACTGACCTTAGCACTCCCCATTTCCCCAGCACCTACAAATCCTTGAAACTCCTTGCTTCGGAGTCCCATCTCTTCCTGCTTAATGACCTGCACTGTCCTGGAATAATGACAGCAACTGGGACCTATCATCACCAAGTGATGCAGTCACATGATATGCTTTATGGTGCATAACAGTAATTGCAATCTGGGAACCAATTACAAATTGGTTTATTTGTACAATATCAAGAGTTGCTTTCATACCTAACTATATAATGTGTTGTCGCTCTTCTATCTGTCGCTTTTCCACTCCTATATCAATTTCCTACCTTTTTTCTGATTTGAGGCTGATCATAATTTATTATTTGAACCATGAGTAAAACTATATTATTAACATTGTTATTCTTATGTTATGTCTTTTCTCTAAAAATGTAGGTATCATATATGGAAAATATTCCTTGCAACCATAATTAGATTAGGCTAAGACAAAGTGACTCACTCTGGAGCTATATAATGTAATGAGAACTTTGGTCTTTGTAGTTTGTCTGGAACCTAATCAATAATATATCCTGGCAATTGCCTAATGTAGAATGTGAGAAACAAGATCTGAACAAAAAATTCCTCAGGTATAAGTTACCTTGTAGTTTAGCAACAGAAGTTGAATGACTAGAGTATTATTATGTTGTCTTAAACACCAGTGATGCAATGTTATTTTTTATTCATTTTACTAGGTTAAAGTGGGACATGAAATTACAATTGGAACAGGAGCCAAGAAGAAAATAGCAAAACGGAATGCATCTGAAGCTATGTCATTACAGCTTGGCTATAAAGCCTCTTCCTCTACTTAAAGAACAGCCAGAAACGGTAAGGGTTTGTTCAACTAGAAGAAGAGAAATGCCATTGTCTCATGCTTCTTTAATATTTGTTTTCTAAATATACTTAGTCCAATTGCTGGTACAGTTATTTGTGATCTTCCCAGCCAGTTTCTGATAAGCAAAATAAATTGGTGAAGTTGGATTTGCTTAATGATCTCATAATTTTCTTAAACAGCACACTAAAATGACTGTAAAATCAATCCAGTCATGTGATGATTCATTTCATGACTGCATTGCTTAGCAAATAAAATTTCGGCCCCAATTGTAGTGATAAGTTAATGAGTACCTGTGTGGTTATTGCTTTCTGTTCATGTATGACCCTCTTCTAATCATCTGGTTGACTACTGGGAGAAAAGGGATGGTAGAAGCACACACCACTCAATGTTCTCATTGAACAATCTGGTATTCTTATTTTCAAAGCATCTCACCTCCTATGTGTACATAAATAATATTTAATAGTAATTGTATTATTTTGTATCATGCACATTTTATGTTCCTCTTATTTATATTTATCAGCTAGGGGATGAAATAGTCAAAATGTTTGCTATCCAGAATCAAAAAGTTAGTGAAATATTTGTATTCATTCATTTTTACATCAGCTCTGTAATATAGATAGATAGATAGATAGGTAGGTAGGTAGGTAGGTAGGTAGATAGAGATAGAGAGATAGAGAGATAGATTGATATAATAAGATGAAATAATGCAAATGAAGTAATGATCTTTTTTAAAAATGCAATCATTTTGATATTTTAATAAAAATAATCATTTCAACAAAATTATAGATAAGGCTAATTTGTCCACAATCAATTTCAAATGGTGAGCATGTTTCCCCAAATTTGAACATGTGACTATAGGAACAAGAGTTGTAAGTGCAAGGATTGATCATACGTCACTTTTGCAGTGCCATTTGTTACTCGGAATAGTCACTAAATGAATGGTTGTAAGTCAAGGACTACCTGTAGTATAAAAGTACTGTAAAAATCAATGGCAAAATACAAGTGACTCTTGCCACCATTGGTTTGTGCCACTAATGTTTTGGGAGAAATAGAATTGAAAGAATTTTAGAAAGTTTATTCAAGCTACCCCTCAGAGGTTTAACCATCTTGTTTACTAATCTAAGGACTATATCTTTTTTCATGCTCTTTACCCTTGTCATTCAGCAGTGCTCTAGACAAAATCTTCTAGGACTGTTCTTCCAATAATTCATCACAGATAGTTCTGTTTGTTCTGCAAATTTCATTGTTTTTCAAAATAAAGTTGTCGTCATTAAAAATATGAAAGGCATGTAGTTTTACTGTCATTCAGTAAGGCTCTGCAACAGTTTCTGGGACATTTGAGCATGATTTATCTATGTAAAATATTCTAACATCTCTGAAAATGTCATCGTAACCTGATAAGAAGCAGCTCTATAACTATTTTTTTAGGTTTTTTCCCATGCTAGATTATAAAAGCGTAGACTATGGTTTTCAAGTTATGAGATTGGTTGGAATGAACTGAGCCAAGACCAAGGCATAGTGGGCAGTTTTCCCAACTAAGAGTTCTGCTTTGAAGCAGGTCAGGCTGTCCTTATAGAGTCCTACTGTTCTAGTATCTGTTCTGTCTCATTCCAGTTTTTGAAAAGTAGCCAATTTTTTATTCAAAGCCCCAAATCTAGCTTTTGGTTTGACAGCTTATTTAGCTCTGCAATGGAAAAAACCAGACATTTTCATATCAATATTTAATTGAAATATTTTATCAATATTTATCTCAGTGGAAAAGAAGAAAAAGTGCATACATTCTCACTCTCCAGCTTACAAAATGTATTGGGACAAATATATAAATACTGAGAATTATACAATATATACCAAATATTATATTCTATGGATATTCCACAGTTGGTATTAGATTCCTGGAAGACTTTATCTTTAGAGAAATCTCTATCTCAGGGCAATGTTTGCATGACCCAATCACATCTCATTACTTATGAATATGGCAGCATATGAGTTTTTGCACTAAAACAATATTTGCAGGCAGGCAGGCAGGCAGCAGTGGGTACAGAAGGAAGTACAAATGGAAGAACTGATAAAAGACTGCAATCTATAAAAAAGCCCACAACTCTCTCACTCTGGCTGACTGTCCAGCCCATCACTTATCCTACTCTTCCTCTATTCATCATGAGCTCCTCCATGAGTTTTTCCCCTTGTCCTTTTCCCAATTTGGCCACACAAATCGGAAGGCAAGCTTCCAGTACCATCCAACTTTCAGGCTAATGTCCACAAAATATTCTATAAACCAGATGTATTCTTCTGGCAAGGAAAGAAGAATTTTTATTACAGAAGAAAAGCAACAGCAAATGTGACAGATGTAACATACCACAAGCCCCACAAGGAGCATAAGGTAATCCCATATAAGCAGAAAGGGAGGAAACAAAACACACACAAGTATCTTAGGATATATCCCTAGCACCAGGATCTCTAAAACAGAAGGGTCATCATCATGGCCTTGCTCCCATCATGTATGCTGGATGCAAGCAGTTCTCCAAACAGTGTTATTTGGAGCCTTGTTGTTTGTTTACATTTAGAAGTATATTGCAGAGTTTGTAAGTATTTTCACAGCTTAGGTGTGAAGAGTCCCTGCCAAGATTTTTTGGGAATTATTGATTGTAAGTAAATGCCTGCAGAAAGAGTATTGTATTTGCAAGCTGTGTGATGTAGCAATGGCTAGCTTTTCCTGGGAGCCAATAAGCATTAGGGATATATGCTCAGTGGCTATCAAGAGTGAATTTTAAAATGAATATCCTGGCTTTTCTGGCCACTCCTCCCAATCCTTTTTCTTACAGGGCTGAATATCTAAGTTGGGCAAGTGGAGGAAAACTTTAACTAAAAACAAATCCAGGACTTTTTAAATCAAATGGTCTACAACCGACTGGATTGGAGAATTCCCACAAAACATTAACTCTAATTAAGCCTGTCATGGGAACACAGCAAGAATAAACAGTTTGTGGTTACTTATACAAGAGGTAATTATCTAGAGGAACTACTTTTATCTGTAAAACAAGACAAATTGTATTCCATGCACACATTTCTCAGTTAGCATTCTGGCACAGGAAAGAATAGTATTTTAAGTAGAAAATTTGTGGGCAGTAGGTAAGCTGTTCCCCTCTGCTAATTCTCTGTAACAGTGATTGGTTTGGGTTCCCCTTAGCTGACCTTATTTATGGTTGCAGAACTGTGGAGAGAGATTGTGATGAAGAATTATTGGGTGGAGAGAAATATCCAGGCAGATTTTGAGATTCCCACAAGATCACCTTGCCTTTTAGTGTGGCAACTTACCGAGTATGAAGAATAGTATGTGAAAGATATTGTGATAGAAAATTGCAGATGTTAAGGAACTGTTTAGGAGGAAAAAACGCAAACGTTGGAAATGAGAAGGAGTTTGCATTAGAATTAAAGGAGAGTATGAACGTGGAGTGAAATAGAGAGAAGGGAAGATACAAAAGATGGAGTACTGTTTCAATAGTGTTCTGACATTGACATTAGTCTTAACTTTCTCTCTAGTTGCTAGCAGTCCCCATTCTGTACTACCCAGCTGATGCTACTCTTCATCTAACACTGGGTACTACTCATTTTTTAACAGGGGACTGTTCTTCTCAGTCTGTGCTCTGCCAGATCATTTCTACCATATAATTAACTTCCTTCACATTCCACCAGCCTTGAACCTTTTCAAGATGACACATTTTTCAAGTTTCAGCAACTTCTGACATTCTATTGAATAACAGACTTAGAAGGAGGAAAATTCACTTTCTTTGACAATGGAGGACTTGAGATTTGTTTTCATAGAGAAATGCTGGTATATTTCTGGGTTTCTTATTGCTTGATACAAAACTCTCTTGGAGCTAGAAATGGAGATAGAAATGGAACCTGTTCTTTTAAGACCTTCGCTCTGTCCAACACTGAAGAGCATTCTTTTAAAATGCCCCTACTGTTGTTCTTCCATCACTGTGAAAAAGGACAATTTCAATAATGGATGTGCTTGGGTCTCTGATTACCGCAGTCAAAACCATTAACTTGTTTTATGGGAATCATCTTATGGAGCTTATTTCACTTTTATTATTACATCTTACCAGATTGGTCAGAGATGTTTCTCAAGGTGAACAACCACAAATTTTGTGTTGTTACTTGTAGCATTCTGATGTATGGCTCTATTATAAATAGGATATTTTTATTTTAAATCTGTGCCACTAATATAAATATATACAGTATAAAAGCTGATGTAATAAAGATCAGTTGTGTTATATTCAAAGCTTCCCTGTTTAAAGTTGTGAATGATATTAGAAGCCTAGGATTATATCTAGATAGCAATAAAATAATAAATAATTTGAGAGAAACCAGTTGGTAGTAGAAACATGTTGTTATGTTTTTTTCTCCAAATATTTTTTAGAAATTAAAACAAATAGTATTTTAATGATTTTATTAGAAAAATGTTGAGACAGATATGCAAATTTTAGTGCAATTGAAAACCATTTTAGTAATGAAAAAAGCTAAACTAATAATTTCTTTGTATCATTACCCAATAAAAAATAATGCAACTAATTCCAAATAATGTATTTTCAGTCAGACAACCAAGTATATCAAGTAAGTTAACTTTTGAACATTAAAATAATGATTGAACATAATTCACCAAGCTTGTTGGAATGTATTTTTTTTTCTATATGCATTAGGAATAAATTCTGTGCACATCTAAAATGTTCATGTGAAAATCAAAACCATGGAAAACCTTTTATTTCAAAACACTTGTTTTTCTTCGTAACTCATTTATTACTCTGGACTTATGCATGAAACAAGGAACTTTGTTCCTTAGGAGTCCATCTGCTCCTGCTGTTTGTTCACCATCTGAAATCATAATCATCTGTTTGTGACACACTAATCATTTTCACAGTAACTAATTGTGATGTCACAAACAGATGATTATGATTTCAGGTGGTGAACAACCAGCAGGAACTAATGAACT